CCCCAAAACCCCAAAACCCCAAAACCCCAAAACCCCAAAACCCCAAAACCCCTGACTTATTTCATATAATTGGCAACTATAAAATATGTATGTATTTCCAAAACTAATGATTTATGCTAACAAGGACGACCGAAAGTTTATTTTACTTCCTAAGATTCCTCTTTATCTTCAACAACATCTGTTCATTTTCCTTCCTGAGCTGCTTCTCCTTCTGTATCTCCTGAGACAGTATCCGGATCCTCTCTCGTTTAGTTAGAGTACGTGAAGCTGGCTCTTTACGGCACTGGGCTTGAGCAGGATTTGGAACTAGATTTTGAGGAAGGAGTTACTTTGGAGAAGGGAGATTATTAAGCGTTCTATTTCAGACATTTCGACATCTTCTTGTGGGCAAGGTGAACTAAGGATGAGGAGAGAAAGTACTCAGGGTCTTGGAGGTTCGAACATTCGGAGGTTTTGTTGGAGTCTTTTAGTGTTTCGCTTAGGTGGTCGAGTAGTGTTTGTTCCCTCGGAGCCTAGAATATTAAGAAAATAGCATGCTTTTGAGTCAGATGAGGTTTTAAGAAAGGGGTTTGAGTCCTTCTTATTGATTAATAATTGACTCATTAGGCGTTTCTTGAGTATTTCTATAACATCTGCATTGCTTTTAGTTATATATTTCTTGAGTAATTCCAATCTTTTTATAGCTTTATCATGCTCATCTCCTTTAAAATTTTCTGCAATTTTTAGTTCTAGACTTTGAAATATTTGATCGATGGTTTCTGTATTATCTTTCTCAACAATAATATTATTATTTTTACCGTTCTTCAGCGTAGAATCGACAGTGAGATTCCTTTTGAGTCGCTTCACTGCAGAACTAGATTTATAGCTTCTAACAGATCAAGCACTCTGCGAAGCATTAGATCTTACATAACTCTCAGTCCTTGAGCTACTTCCATTATACTTCTTTCTTCCTTTTTGACTAGAATAGTTCAGCTCATTAAACCTCCTTGAAACATTAGTACTCTTCCTTTTAAAAAAGACATACTTTCCATCATTCTTTAGATCAGCATTCTTCTTAGTAAAGGTCATTGAGCTATTCTTTCTCTCAGATTCCTTACTTCAACGAATTAAGTTTGCTAAGGTTGGCTACATAATTAATATTCTTCATAATATTGACTGGGCGTGGTTTCCTGTTCAAAACCCTTGGTTTTCTAGTATCTTGGAACTTCTGTGGCTCAAACTTGAGAAGTTTGTCTCTGAAGTTGGAATAAGGAGTCTCAACAGGTTTATTGGTAATAATGTCATGGTCTATTTTGGAGTAGTTCATGTAGTTGATACTTCTCTTTTTGGACTCTTTGTCAGAGTAGCTGTAGTAGTGGGTAGAGCTGTTGTTGAATATTCTGTTGTTTGTACAGTCGAAGCCTTGTCTTTTGGCCTGACTGGTGTTTATAATCTTAAACCCTCATGATAGCTTCTATTTTGAATAGATTCTTTTCTGTTATTGCTTCTTGCAGTCTTTGTCCTTTCATTGAGAACATGGTTGAGTCTTTTACCTTGAATAGTCTTAGTCCTCCTGTTTAGACTAAGGGGCTTTCTTGAGGCTTTCATAGTGATAATTCAAATTTTATTTTAATTTTTGGGGTTTTGGGGTTTTGGGGTTTTGGGGTTTTGGGG